ACTTTCTGTACAACAGATAATTTTTTTATTTTTTATATTTACTTGTATATATAGATAGATATGTATTATAACTTGTTATGTAACTGTAAATAATATAAAAAAATATTAAAAATTAATTTTAAACAAATTTTTTTAATTTAAATTAATTTAAAAGTCATTCTTTCACAATCCAGTCATTTTGACTGCTTTTGGTCAATATTGGTATATATTAAGTTTCAGTCTTTCTAGTGTTAAAGATATAGAAATATTTATAACAAAACAATACCTTTATGACTTATATCAATTTAATGCTGATGACAACCAAACCAACATGAAAATTAATGCATGAAACCTGAATCCTGTCGTATGATTTTCCAGCCAATAAAAATACACCGACAACGATGGAAAACTGCGTCACCATTATTAGACTCTTATTCTTAGTTAGTTTAGGAAAAGTCGTAAAAATTTTGATCGACTATAAAACGACGAAAAAGTTTGTTTTCACCATTTATGAAACGATTGTAACTTGTATTAAAAACAGAAACAAAGAACAAGTTGAAATTTGAGTGATCTAGTTATTCCCACACCGGCCAGATTGACGATTTATTCAATCTGAAATGATCAAGAAACCACTCTGACTTGAATTATCGTCAGCTACAGAACCTTAGTTAAAATTTGATCACTTTAGCTAGGCGAAATTTCGATTAAAGATAGTTTTTGTTTGACAATATGACAACAAATTTTTCTTGAAGTGGTCAGAAAACTAAAGAATCTTACATTGCAATGGAAACTTTAGTTTAAATTTGAGAATTTCATATAATCTGGAAGGGTTCGAATTTTCGATTGAAAGAATTCATCGTTAAAAGCAGGAAAGCAAGTTAATAAAAACGTTGTAAAATTCTTTGATTTTCTCCGTGATGTCTAGTTTTTCCCAGTGGTTGCTTAGCGGAATGAAAAATAGCTTTATTATAAAAGGTACAGAACGATGAACATTTTTGTCATCGAGACCCTAAGAGGACGCCATATCACGGGAGAAACATTTCGTAGTAAATTCTCTTCCAAATTCGTCACTATTTTAAAATTTAAAAGAAAGAAAAAAATGAGTTCAGGCAAACCTAGAGTTGGCCACGAAGTTTCAATTGCTGAAAAAAAAAATTCGAATTGCGTAATCCTGATTTATTTTCTTATAACTAATTTTCACTAGGATGTTTTAAATTTTCTTTTTCAGTATTTTAAGCTTTATGACTTATTCTAGGTTTGTCTGAACTCACTTTTTCCATACCTTAAATTTTAAATTAGTTATGGAGGTGAAAAAGAATCGTCAACGTAAAATTTCTCCTGCGGTATGGTGTCCCCTTAAAAATGCTACCCGAAACCAGTGATTTCGGAGAGGTAAATCGATGTTTTTGCCACTGTAATTCCGAGATGAGTTATAATTTTCGGTTGTTCCCTTGTCTTCTGTATTGGGTTCAAAATTACAAGGCTACGGAGTTGAACATGAGTAGTTGTGAATCCGAAAATTGCGCCGGCTGCTCAACGATGGTTATGAAATAAATTAATTTGATCAAATTCGATCTTAATCTCTTTACCAAATTTTGCTGCTAATGTATTATTACCCGAAGCAGTATTTATTCAACACTTCATATCCATTTGGTCATGTTTGAATTAAGATCAATTTCAGCAATTTCAAAAGAGACTGAAATGTCCTCCAATAAAGGTGGAAGAATTACCAGCACCCGGCTCACACCCACCACCTGTACTGACGTAAAATATCCTCAGTGGTAGTTGGATCATGGGTTAGAGTTCTCTTGCCGTCAGGCAAACAATTGGAAGTTTCCTCGGTTTTCCTCACCATGTAACGCAAATGCTGGTTAGTCCCTTCAAAAATTTACCACGAAGGCAAAATTCTTCCAATACTTGATCCGGGAGTTTCCTCGTCTTCTGGATTGGGTTCCAAATTACAAGGCTACGGAGTTTAACAATAGTTTTGTTGAGTTAACCAAAATTGAGTTTGCTGTTCAACCGACTGTTATAAAATAAAATAATTTTCCGTTAGAAACTGCTACATATATTGAAATGCGGTATTTCTTTTTCGATTAATGAAGATGCTTCTTCTACATATTTTGCTGAAGTTAAGCGGAATTAATTTAATTTTAAATGAGCTCGTAGGCATTGATTGCTTCGTTCCCTGATCGCTTCGTTCTGAATATCGATTCGGGGTTTTAAAATTCAGATAAAACGTTGAAAAAGGGATAAAACTGGAAATTAGTCAGGTTGACGGTTGATGCCGACATTCTCAGGAAGAAAGTGTTAATGCTAAGGACAGCTGAATAATAACCTGTGTCAGAAACAAATATTTTATTAAAAGCTTTTTTTAAAACGAATGCTTAATTGGTAATGATATTTAAATCCTTATATTCCACTCTCCATGAAATATCCTATCAGGAAATAGCAATCAGTAAAAACTCAATTTTCTAAACATGATTTATTATGTAAATGACCATGCTCATATGTAATTACAGTCCTAAAAGATTCTGATAATTGTTACCCTTCAAATCTTTAACGCGCTTTTCGAAGCAAGTATAACTACGCTTTTTGTTGAAACAATGAGTTTAATACTTTACTCAAGCAATAGTTTGGCACCTATTGTAAATAGTCATGAAAAACGATTTTAATCAGATAGTCGTTCAATACCAGTAAATGCACTGTGGACCAGAAGGTCATGGATCTTTGGCCAAAAGTCAAAAATTAAATTTTCAACTAAAATATATGTAGGCATTTTTAATCTAGCCCAAATTAAGAATATTCATAATCATTCCAAACGTAATTGACTTTTGGGACTGACAAGAGTACAATGTAATAAAAAATATGTTTAAATTTTTTTTTTATTTAACTTTTAAATTTTTATTTCAGAAATATATATAGGAATTTCACCTTACTATTGCATTTTTATCAGAGTAATTAGTCTGAAATTATAGTACTATTTTTCAATCTGTTGGATTAGTTAAGATTAGTTAATACTCTTGACAAACTTATAGTTTATATCTTATCATTTGACATTTTACAATGTTTGAATGACTTTCGAAACTTAGTTCCAAAAAGTTCAACGAGGCAATTAGCTAAACTTTTTTTGTTGTTGTCTTCTTCGATGTTTCTTCTTTCGAAAAAACCTGCCCCATTTTGCCCGTATTGCAAAGGTGGACTAAATATACCGAAAAACATAAATGTTTTTTTCTTCCTGTTTTCGCGTTATTTTGTAATATTACTTCGGAAATATAATTTGCTTTTCATTTTTAATATAAAATTAAGAAAATTATTATATTTTCATTGCTATATTTAATAATTTAAACGTACTATATTATTTTTATTTTATTTTTGCTCGCCATATTTCAGCCGCTATTTTGTTTTTTTTTGGAATTTTTAGTGTACTTCAAAATTTCAACTATGAATTCAATTTACCTACACATAAAAACCCTAAATAAAAAAATAAAAAAAAATTTTGAAACAAATTTTATCGAAATACTAATTTTGGCCACGAAACCTTGTATACTAGCCCACTGTGAAATGTAATGGAAAGCTAACTCACAGACAGAACAGAATCGAACAGAATTTAAACGCATTTCTTTTTTACAATTTTTTTGAAATTAAGCAAACATCAAGCTAGGGTGGATTTAATTACTAAATTTTAAAATAGTATTCTTTGGTGATATTTTCCTTATCATCATCATTCAATGAAAACTGAATTATCATAAATGCTGGCTGATTTGCAAATAGCAATTCTTTATTTAATCTGTTTGAATTTATCAAAATCGATAAAAAAGTGGTATAAAATATGATTTTTCAAAATTATCCCAAAAGGGAATAAAGACTAGTTAATCTAAAAAAAAATTTCATTGCGATTTGCTAAAACTTTTTTTTCTTTTCTATTAAAAGAAAGAATAGGGGACAAAATTTAAGTTGTCATGTAAACGTGATTAAACACCTGGCTACTATTACTTTTCACCCAGAGTTAAATTTTAAATACAATAAAATAGCAAATCTGAGCTAAGATTTAGAAATATTGAGTTACAGCTCAATTTCCTCAAACTTGTACAATTGTTACTGTGAATGACCGAAATTGGTCTAGTATGCTAGGTCTAGGTCTAGTTAAGTGACTGCCCGGTATGCCCCATCAATGTTTTTTCAAGGTCAAGTACCACAGCCAACATTAGTACCGGTATGAATTTAACCGGTACTAATGTTTCTCTTAATCTATCCTCAGCAAATATTAAAATATCGAATGAATATAGTAATATCAACGAATAAATTAATATCAAATCAGATATAACAAATATTTCGGATCCTTCATCAAAACGACTATGTGATTGTTGACATTCACCGGTGAACGTCGACATTCTCTTGATTTCGGTCATTTACACGGTTACATAATCAGACATAAACTTAACATGCTACCCTGTGTAACCTAGCAGTACTTAAATATGACTATAAATTGACAGCTTTAAATTTAGATCTGAGATATATTGATAAGATTAAGATAAATTTCCATTTTCTTCATGTACGTAAATATTTTCTAAAATAAAAGATAAATTTAACCTTACCCAAAAATAAAAGGAAAAAAAATGTTACAAATTAGTGAAAAGGACTATATTGGAGATTAAATGTAATGGGGAAGTAACAAAACAATAGAATTTGCAAAATGTACAATGTGATACATAAATCAATAATCATACACAAACTAAACATATAACTCTGTGTCAACTAAGCAGTACTTAAATATGACTATCAATTGGAAGCTTTAAATTTAAATCTGAGCTGTATTGATAAAATTTTAAGATAAATTTTCAATTTCTAATGCTCAAACCACGTCATGCACGTTAATATTTTGTGAAATGAACGATTAATTTATATACAAGAAAAAAAAATGTAATAAATGATTGAAAAGGGATTATATTAGAGATACAAGAAATCAACACAAAATCACAATATACGCAAAATCAACTGGAATTGTAAATACGACTCACGCTATTTTCGTGGCTGATATCTATGACCTCTACAACCTCGCCCGGATCGTTTAGTACTCTGTATAGGTAAATCACGTCATCGTCACTTTGTGAGTTTGAAATTTCGTGATTGATGGTTGTTGAAGGCCTGCTGCGCCTGTTTATGCCTTTTCTATCACTTTTATCAGTCATTTTAGTTTTAAAAAAATTAAAATAATTAAAAATATTATAAAAATAATTCATTTTCAATATTAAAAGACATTATTTAAAGTAGTAAGTAATTGAAATTTCTTTAAAAAAAATACCCGACCGACTGAAAATGAATTCATTTAGTGTTTGTGCTTTTAATCAACTCTTGTTCGGCTGATGACATTCTTCATGCTTAAGTTATCCTTTAAATTATGTAATTTTTATTCCTAGTATGTGACATCGTCGATAACTGAACTTCTTTGATGATTTACTGTTTATTGTTTTATTGGAATTACATACATTTGCAGGCTTGTGTGCTCAATTTAGGTTTATAAACCTTTGTCAAATAGAAGGGCAGACGGCACAATACAGAGAAGGATAGCACGAAGATACATCCAGGGTAACAGCGGGATTCGAACCCGCTACCACCACGCTTTGCACAGCGTTTGGCGGACGATACCACTCAGCTAGCGAGGCTCCGATTTACTGTTTAAAATATAATATTGTTAAGTTCGAACTGGAACTACACGATTAATTTAATATTTATATTTATACCAATGGTTTGATCGTAAAGGCACGGTTCCCAGTTGAACACCGAAGTCAAGCATCACTGGCTACAGTCAGTAAGCGGGTGAATGATTTTTATTTTATTTTATAACCGTCGTTGAACAGCCGACCCAACTTCATGGGTTTACGACTACTAACGTTCAACTCCGTAGCCTTGTAATNTTTAAAATATAATATTGTTAAGTTCGAACTGGAACTACACGATTAATTTAATATTTATATTTATACCAATGGTTTGATCGTAAAGGCACGGTTCCCAGTACAACACCGAAGTCAAGCATCACTGGCTACAGTCAGTAAGCGGGTGAATGATTGCTTTGATCAGCCTGCATAAGGACCGAGGGTGCGGAGTATCGTTCTTCGTTCAACTGTTCTACCGTAAAGTGCTCGATTTCTCGCGCAGGGCATCGGGCTACCAAAGCAGGGGAGCCATCTTTTCAGCAGAGGATCAAAATTGCGGTAGCATGTCTTCGGATCATCCTCAGAGTTGTTTCCCAGACAGTCACTAATAGCCCATTGTGCGGTTCCAGTGCGACGTAAATAAAGTACCTACCTTATATATATATATATATATATATAGAGCTTATCCACAGTTCCCTGATATTGCTGAGATGACCTAGGTAGTAAATAGCGCATTCGCAGCGGCGCAGAAGAAGAGACTAGCAAGCCACTCAGCCTAGACTAGAAAACTAGAACTACTCACTAGTTGAGAACTCTCANATATATCATTACAGATGCAGAAGATACAGTCCTTGTATCTTCAGTTACAGGTGCAGCTATGTTCAAATTGCGAAGCGTGGTGACTCAGGGCATAGAGCGCTCCCCTCCCAATGAAGTGAACTTGTTTCGAATCCCGGCAATGGCTTGTTTGTTTGAATTCCGCAGCCGGCTCGCACCAGCCACAGTTCAGACGTAAAATCTCCTCAGTGGTAGACGGATCATGGGTTAGAGTCCCCTTGCCATCAGGCTATCCGTGGAAGGTTTTCGTGGTTTTCCTATCCATGTAACGCAAATGCGTGTTAGTTCCATCTAAAAGTCCTCCATGAGAACAAATTTCTCCCAGTATTTCATTCAAGCATTGGGAGATCATGTCTTCTAAATTGGTTTCAAAAATACAATGTTACGATGTTAAGCATTAGTAGTCGTAAACCCACAAAAATTATGTCGGCTGTTCCACGACGGTAATGAAATATAAAATACGATGACGTGTTTAATCTCCAGCAAAATATAAAATATACTTCTGCCATATACTTCTGTCAGGTTAGTCCCATCAGAATCCTCCACGTAGGCAAATTTCTCCCAATACTTGATCCAGGAGTTCACTTGTCTTCTGGATTGGGTTAAAAATTACAAGGCTACGAAGTTGAATATTGGTAGCTGTGAACTGAAAATTCGGTCGGCTGTTCAATGACGGTTATAAAATTATTAAATATGTTCAAGTTGAAGAACAGACAATATAAGTTGAGGAAATAGGTCACAAAGATAAAGATACATTCAGGCTTACGACGGGATTCGCCACATAGTGAAATATATTACTTTGTACTATTGATACTCGTAAATAACAAAGCCGTTAAACTATGGTTGTAAACTGCAACCGAGATGTTTGTCAGTTAAATGCCCCCCAGTCAATGACGTAACTAAGTAATTATGTACAATTAAATAGTATACAAGAGTTTAATTGGAGTAAGACGAACTTCAAATGCTGCGACGCATGCTATTGGCTTGTAAGTGCGAAAATTCTTGATTCATTTGGAGGAGCCATGTGACTTTTTCCATCGTATTCGGACATCCTGATCGGTCATCAGTCCGTCATCCTTAACAGATACAATAAACATTGTAATTCATATTTGATGCATGTCTTACTTGAAATAAGCTCTGGAGTGGAATTAAGGGGCCCGAACCTGCAACCTTCCTCTGTAGAAACTTAAAACCTTAGTTGCCGGTGACAACCAATATAGAAATTAATGAGGAAAGACTGGATCATACCACGTGATTTTTCGTCCAATAAAAATACACGGACAATAATAGAAAACTTCGACACCATCATTAGATTTTAATATATAGTAATATTTCCACAGCAAAGCAAAGAATGCATTGGTTTTATAATAATGTAATTACATTATTCTAATCTATATATATATTTCTCTTACACGCGACAAAAAAAAGCCTCATTACAACTCCCCGAATGGCAACGCTAGAAAATCGACCAATGATTGCCGCTAAAAATGTCACATGCCAAATCTATTTGAAGTGGCTCAACGTATAGCGCTTTTAAAAACGGAAACTGAAAAAACCAAAGAGAGCTACAGCAATCTCATACTATTAAGCTAGGCAGAAATGAGTAGTCTTTGTCGATAGATCTCNTATATATTATTATAGATTATACACGGCCGGCGACAAAAAAAAGCCTCATCACAACTCCCCGAATGGCAGCGCTAGAAAATCGACCAATGATTGCCGCTTTTAAAAACGGAAACTGAAAAAACCAGAGAGAGCTACAGCAATCTCATACTATTAAGCTAGGCAGAAATGAGTAGTCTTTGTCGATAGATCTCTATTTTAGTATTCTGTTGAAAGCACTTTTTTTCAAGAATTTATATCGAATTTATTTGATGATTTTTGATTTATATCACGAATTTATTTGTTTTATTGTTATTAGTTATTCATTAAAAAATGAGTCTCAGTCGTGCTGTTACGCTTTAAGATTTTATACTATAGCACATTTCTAATAGGTTTAACGAATTACATGTCATTTATTTGAGTTCAAATGCAAACCATATAAGATTGCGTAGCAATTTTCGGGGGTTGGCGAGCATTAGCGAGCAGGGGGCTCAGTCCACTAGTTAAAAATATTTTATTGAAAATAAAAAGCAAATGGTTTAATTTAAAAAAAAGAAAAAGAACTAAACATTTTGCCAATAAAATAATTTTAAAAAAGGTCTCAGAAACGTTATTACGTAATAAAGTTTTTGAGAACATTTTAAAATGTATTTAATTTCTAAATGTTACTTGTTTTTAACCATTTACTTGCTTTTATGCATTTTTCAAAATCTAATTAAAAGTCCCTTAGACCATTAAAAAAAACTCCATAAATCATATAATCAAGTAAAATTTATTAAAATATAATCTTTTTTTTAAATTTAAGACAAATATTGCACTTTTTAATCCGAGTGCAAAATTTAATTCTACTTAATTAACGTTTAAATTATTTAAAAAAACCACCAACTTTTTTGCACCTTATAGGACTTAATACTCAATTATCCGTAGACGGAGCCGAGAAACATTTTTTCGATTTCGAATGCACATTTTCTTAAGGAATTATCTCAATGTACAAGACGAAACATTCAGAGGAAACTCAGAAAAGAGAATTTTCTACTTAACTTATTTTTCTAACTTTTGCTTTCTTATTTTTCAAATTATCTTACTGTTTCTCTACCTCAACAAACTTAATAGAGGATGAATGAAAAAATATTAATGCGGTATGAGTTTTTTTTTCTTAATTTCTCGAAGTACTAACGTTTCTTAATTTTAAAATTTGGAGCCACAAAATAAAATGGGAAACTTCAACATAACCGAAGGCATTTTCAAATAGCAACTGCTAGCCACGACCTCTTAGCAGTTCAAAACCGTTCCGTTCGCAAAAAGTAGAAAACCTTTTTTTTTAAATTAATACATTAAACTCAAAAGTTTAAAAGATTTAGTGACCACTTTTTGCTCTGTTTTTCTTCAACGTAAAATTCATTAAATTTAAAGAATAAAATAGCAATATATTTTTTTTCTCCATCAATCATGTGTTTTTTTTAATAAACTGCTCAATTCCTGCTGCTTCATTTTTAAATTACCGTCTATCTGGAAAATTCCCAGAAATAACTTTCATTTTCTTCTTTTTTCGATAATAAAAGTAATAAAATGAGAAGAACACGACGCTGCAAAGAAGCTCCGTTGTGATATCGAAATGAAATACGAGAAACTTTCCATTCTCTTTTAATTTTTTTCTTCACATAACTGGCAAAAAAAAAAAGGTCCTCTTTATTACAGGAGTGAATATAATTTCTTTTTATTTTCTGAATCCAGTAAAAAAGTGCTTTCTTTGAAAGATATCATCGGTGAAAATAGTAAAAGATTTTCTTACATCCTACTCTTTTTTCTTTATTTCTGGAAAATTTTATCTGAATGACACGTGGGTAATGTTTGACTCAGGTTTATTGATATACCTAAGTGAATACCAATTTCCATTCATTTTAATCTTTAAATTTGTTTTATTAACAATTTATTCCTTATTTAAATATGATAAAAGGAATATTATTTGCATACTGATAATTGTAGAGCTTCACGGGAAATGGTAAAAAGATGCATTTTTGAAAAAGATGTTTTGAGGAAAGATTTTATTTTAGTTCTATTTTACTATTGGATACTTTCAAGCTACGTCATGCGTGGGTCGGCCAATCAATTTTGGCATGCAAGCGTGACGTCGCTTGCAAGCATCGAATTAAATCTGATCCGAAAATTGATTCAGCCTCGGGTTTCTTGATTTGTTTGTGTGAATACCGATTTTCATTCATTTTATTCTTTAAATTTGTTTTATTAACAATTTATTCCTT